TGAGGAGGACCCTACATGGTTGCAACCCATTTTCTTTCCTGAGAAGCTCTGAAGGGTCTGAACACTCTTGGCCTGCGGGCTCAGCCGGTGTGTTGAAGGAGGGTTGCAGCTGACCTATCTTTTTGTGTATCTGCAGTGCTCAGCATTTTAATCCCTAAGGGGTATGAAAGAAGGGGGAAACATCTCCGTATGAAGGAAATATTCCTTCTGGGACTAGATAGGATGAGATTCTGCAGTGATACCCACTTTCTCCATTATTCTTTATTATTGTGAGATCTGTGTCTGCAACATGGTCTGAGTCAGTGCAGCGCAGGGCCACAAGGTTGGTGGCCGGTTTGCAGGGGATGCCGCATGAGGCGAGACTGAGGGAACTGGGCCTCTTCAGCCTGGAGAAGAGGAGACTCAGAGGGGATCTGTTGGTGACATACAGGTATGTGAGGGGGTGTCACACGGAGGTGGGTAGAGACCTGTTCTCCCCTGCAGAGGAAGGCAGACGCGCTCCAAGGGAGCAAAGCTCAGGGAGCCAAGGTTCAATTTGGATGCCAGGAAGCATTTCCTGACAGTCAGGACCCCGAGGGTGTGGAATGGGCTTCCACGAGAGGTGGTTGAGGCCCCATCAGTGAGAGTGTTCAAGGACAGGCTGGACATGCACATGGGGGGCATGCGCCACAGTTCAATGTTAGCATAGTTTGGTGAGCACTCACACACAGACCAAACATCTGTGTATTTATCCATTCCAAGGGGGCAGCAGAAAACATCTGTTCGAATCTTCTTCTGTCAGTCCTTGTACCATCAAAACAGTCAAAATTGATTAGTTGTCCTGGGGTTGTTTTTATTATTGTTGCTTATTGGCAGTTGTTACTGGTTTTATTGTGATATTATTTTTATCTTTGCTTATATATGTTAACCCAATTCTAATTCTTTGGCCACTTAATGAGAAGAAAGGACTCGCTGGAGAAGACCCTGATGCTGGGGACAATTTACGGCAAAAGGAGAAGGGGGTGGCAGAGGATGAGGTGGCTGGATGGAGTCAGTGAAGCAGTTGGTGTGAGCTTGAGTGGACTCCGGGGGACGGTGGAGGACAGGGAGGCCTGGAGGAATGTGGTCCGTGGGGTCGCGATGGGTCAGGTGAGACTTCGTGACTAGCACCACCTGCAATGACTGGCGGACTTTGATAAACCCCATGAAGAATGTATTGTATTGCCCACCATACATGAAACTAAAGTTTGAATGGGGTTGGAGCTGATGACTTTTTAGCCACTTCCATCTCTGCTCTTCTATGATTCCATGCATCACATTTATTCGTTAATAATAAATATATTACCAACATCAACCAGCTAACTGAGTAGCAAATGCCCGAAGGTATCTGTCAGAACTGGAGCAATTTATAAGCGTTTCAAAATAATACATGAGAATCAGTGAGCATGTACCCCTGCGTGTCTGAAAAATCTAAGGGGCGACTTCTTTTATATTATTTATTTTATATTGTTAATTTTAATTTTATATTGTTATTTTTGCATTTTATTGTATTGTGTTGCAAGCCGCCCCGAGGCTTCGGCAAGGGGCGGCATAGAAATGTTTAAATAAATAAATAAATAAATAAATAAATAAAATAACCCCATGCATGATACCATTCTGGTCTCCTTGGTCATCAGGTGCTCCTGACCTTAGGTCATAGGATGGACGAAAGAAGGGATTTGATAGGAATGAAGCCAAATCTATGCAGCCCTACTGAACACCCCTCTCCTAACTGGGTTTGCCTTTTGTGACCTTCAAGCTGGTGGGGCGTCTATTTCAATAGCATGGCAGGAGGGCAACGGAGATCAAGTGGGTTCTTGAAGTGGCTTGCCACAGCTTGGTAGGCGGAGCCTGTTAGAGGGCTCCCAGTTCCTGCAGAGGCCAGTACGAGGCGCACAGCGACAAGACAGAAATAGAGAACACCATTCACTTGGATTGAGGAGAAAGGGTTGGGTCAGGTCCTTCCACTGTGTTGTCTGCTTTCTTTCCTTCTAAGGGAGGGAGAGGGGCCTCCCTGCAGCTTCCCAGGCTCTGGCTTTCTGGGCTTCTCCCTCTTCTCTGGGAGCAGAATTCCTAATGGCTGTATCAGCTGCTGGACAGTCGCCATTTGATCCCCTTCTCTGTGAAGAGGGCAGATGGTGCTTAAATGGCTTTTCATCTTCCCATCCAGTTCGGCTGACACCATCCCATATTTGGTTTCTGTCATGAGGAGAATGTGCTGGCACCCAGAGGTGAATATTCTTGAGGTATGTCTGGAGACCACAGGAAAATACCCAGTTACACATCTAAGTGGCTCAATTTTTTATCCAAGAAGGATGCCCAAAAGCTGAACCACACCAGTTCCATTTGTGGGAAATGGCCTAGGGCGTTCAGGAAAACCATCGGATTCCATGAGTCTCTGAGCACAACACATCCTAATGGTTCTTGAACCTCTGCAGAGAGAAACTGCATCCACAAGTGCAAACTTCAGCCAAAAGTGGTCTGGCCATGAGAAACGGCCAGTTCCACCTTCCGCTAGGACTGTCAGGACACCTGGGGAAGACTAAATTGCAGGTGCGCCCTGCTTTGTGTGCGGACTGATGGCACATTGAAACTGTCCTGTGGTGGTCCTGGAAGTCCTGAAGTCCTGAGCTGGACCAGAGGGTGATCCGGATTCATGCTGAGGCTCCATGAACCATCATCCTGAGTTGCTGCTTTTTAATTTAATTTCCATACCACCCAATTGTTGGAGATCTCTGAGTAGTTGACAACACCGTGTAGTTTCTCTCACACTGATTGATCCCATCTTGGCCAGCTTAATTAGGGACAGATCAGGTGTAACGTAGCATCCCCACATTTCTTTTTGATCAGGCACTAGATGCCGACGCTCTCGTCCAACTCCTGGGCTGAGGATTCCCCAGTGATTATCAGGGATGCTGATAGACCCAGCCATGGCCCCACTCCATTCCCCCAGGGTGCCCTGTGACTGCGAACAGAATACCTGAGCTGCAAGAATGCTCACCAGCTCAGCTCTCACATCCTCAGTGAAATCATGCAGGGACACGGTTGTATTCTGAGCTGAGCTGGGGAAGAACCCAATACCAGGAAGGACAGTGGGGCATGAAGCCCTTTTCTTCACCTACCACTCCACCGGCTTCCTGCTCTTCAGCTTTCATTCCCAACAGCTATGAGAAGATGCGCTCACCCTTAAACACCCTGAGATAGCGACTAAAGGGCTGGGATTTGTAGAGGAACTCTCCGGGCATGAACAGAAAACCTGATCTACTGCTACTCTGCTGGATGAATTGGTGAGTTCTATCAATTTAGGACTGCTGGCCAAGATCCTGACACTTTCATTTCAGATGTGACCCAGCCATCTCCCCCACCTGGACTGTGCTCTTGCCCAGGAAAGGTGATGGATTTCCTCTGACAGCAGGGCAGGTGAGCCATCTAGGCTGTCTTCCTGCGCCACAGCAAGTTTCCCTTTGGAGCCGTGAAGTCGCGGATGCTGGGGAACCCATTCTTACAGCAGCCTGCAAAAGCACTCTCTCCTCCCAGCAGCTTCTTGTTACATCAAATCTCTGGGTGGCGAGTCATTTGGAGGAGAAGCTCAAGGGGACAACTCCCAACTCCTCCTTGCACCCATTTTATGCTCTCATTCTGGTTCAGGCATGCATCAGGTCTGCTGTTGAAAACTCAGGGGTTTAGTACACCAAACATCTTAGCTTTGTGGCTGCCCATGGTGTGTAGCTCACATTCCTTCTGTCTCACCACAACAGGTGATATTGCTCTCCATTTCTTTGGGTTGTGCTCCCAGAGGTCCAGCTGATCCTTGCAGGGGAAAGTAAACCTTGCCTTTCTGGCTTCCTTCGGACAACCCTGGAGAGAAGAAGTGCATGGACCACTGAGGTTCTGTCTCTCTCCTGTTCCTCAAGTCCACTGAGGTCAGCATCAGCTCATGCTCCCACACAACGAAAGTCCGTTCCCTCATTTTAACAGAAGTTGCAGCTTTCTTTTGCCCATTCAGAGCAGGGTCCTTAATGTGCTGTAATTAACTGACCAGAGGGACAGAATTCTTTGACTACCTTCTGCCCAGGGAATGTTTTCTTGGACAGAAGAAAGCTTCTGCCTTCGGAGAACTTCCGACAAAGATCTTTACATGGCCACACCCTCTTTCTTAATGCGTGTTATTGTTGCCTTCCCTATGGAGAATGGATCTTGTGCGGTCCGTCCAACGTGCAGAATCAGAAAGTCAGCAGAGGTTTGCAGAGGAGCACAGTTGCGACAGTGACGATGGCGCAGCAAGGGACAGGGAAGCAGAAGAGAGGAAAGGAAGGCAAGCACAAGGACGGGATGCTCGACATGCCAAGTTGAATGCTGGTCCAAGGACCATGGAAACCTGGGTCCTTGCCCCCACTCAGCCACAGAGCTCACAGGTCGGCTTGGCACCCGTCGCTCATCCTCCGCCCAACCCTCGAGGACGGTCCCGCGACTGGTGCAGGATCGGGCGGCTCGCGTGGTGACCGGCACTTCTAGAGGGGTCCAGATGACCCCAGTGCCGAAAGAACCTCGCTGGCTAGCAGGTGTGGCCCCGGCCCAATTCACGCTGGATGCAGGGCTTCACGCCAGGCGTCCCAATCCTGCTTTATGAGGGATGAGCTTCCCTCCTCGTCTTGCTGATTCACAAGACCAGATCTGACCTCAATGGCGCAAGAGGCCAGTTTGGGTTATCAGTAAATCGTTTTATTCCATGAGATAACAAAATAGGAATAAATTAAGATTTGCATTTTTGGAGAACCACGGAGAACACAGCATTGGCACCCACCAGCTGGTTTCCCCGCATTGGCAACCTTAATGTTTGTTTATTCAGGATAACATGAACATCCAGGTCATCATTAGACAATCAGGGGCATGTCAAAGGGCTTGTTTTCAAAGGTGAAACATCAGTGATACAAAATAATATATACCAGGGTCATGGAAGAATAACATCACAGTGAAGAACTTCACATCCTTTCTATGAAAGCCTGCACATGTGGCAAGCTGCTTTTTAAGCCTGAACTCTCAAATGTCCCAAAGCCTAGTGTGAACAGGATTCCATGATATCCATTCTTGACATGGAACCATGTCACTGACACCCCGTTGTCCTCGAGCCGCTTCTTGTACAGCAGCCCATCATCTCTGATGACATCGTATTCGCAGGTGTAAATGAACGTGTCCGGGAGCCGGCGGATTATGCAGTCCTCGGCCAGCAGTGGGGAGAACGTAGGGTCAAACGCGGCTTTGCACGTTTCATACAGCTGCTTGGAAAACGGAGCCGGCACTGGCGGTGTGTAGCCCCGGACCTTGAACTGCTCCGGAATGTTGTCAGCACTGATCCATTTCCGGCACTTCACCAACACATGCTCAGGAACATGGGCGTTCTTCATAATTCCGTCGACATCCACCTGTTTCCCAGTGAGGAAGTAGAAGCCGTGTCTGATCGCCCGTTTTATGAACAAGGGGGGGGGTGGAATGGTTCTGCTGGTGGGAAGGCAAGCTGAAGTCCACAGCCTGGAGGAACGGGTAGAGGAGGACCTGGGCCCGCAGCCTCGGCAGGTCGTCCCTCATCACCAGCTTTTGCGAAACCGCGGCGGCAAACGTGCCCCCGCTGCTGTCTCCCGCAATGAGGACGCGGTTGGGGTCCACCCCATAGGCCTTTGCGTTCTTCAGGAAGTGTGTTGCAGCTGTGCAGCAGTCCCGGATTGTAACGTGGCTGGGATATTCCGGAACTAAACGGAATCTAATGCAAAGATGTACAGAAATATAAACTCAGTTAATGGAAAGGAGCATTTTGCATCCTTCTGCACGGAGCTGGCTGAGCAACTGTTGCATAGGGGCATGTTCCTGTTTCCTCCCCCTTTGAAAGGTTTTTAAATAGATACCCGCATATTTTTTTTTCAGTGATGGGGTCCTGTGTATTCCCAATCCTGCATGCCTTTAATTGTTCTTTAAATCCTTTGTTTAATAACACTCGGAACAACTCTAAAAAGAAGTGGACAAAAATAGATGGAAGAAGGGAAAAAAATCAGAAATATTCCTTGTGGGATTAGATAGTGTGAGATTCTGCAGTGACTCTTCCAATGGTTCAGTTTCACTTTCCCCGTGTCGTTATCATAAGCATTCTGTTGGTATTAATTCCTAGGTGCCAACACATGTAAGTGAACAAGCAGGTGCTTTCTGTATGGACAACATGTGCACAAACAGTACAGACTTCCTCTAACCATATATTCAATTTTTCTTCCTACATTCCTATTTGGGCTCTTTGGTCCACTGGATTCCAGTCTGACACAAGATTTCTCAAATGCCTCCATTTTCCCTTGCAGCGGAAATGCTCAGGCACTGACTGCTGCAGGATTAAAGAGTGTCTTTGACCCAGGCCTAGTCCTGCTTGGTCTTTTCCCTCTGTGACTTCCATTCCTCTGCTACCCTACGTTGTCTTTATCTCAAAGGGCCTTCTCTGTAGTGGCACCCCAATGGTGGAACTCACTCCCCAGAATGGCTTGCCTGGCATCATCACTTTATTCTTTTCAGTGACAGGCCAAAACCTTTTAATTTTTCCAATGTTTTAAGACCTGATTATTTTAATTGGGGTTTTATTATTAGCTAAATTTTAGGACGCTGTGTTTTAATTTTTTTAAAAAAAAATCCCCTTACATTTTGCATTGTTAAACCATCTGGAGACTTTGGTAATGGGACCATCTACAAAAGTTTTAAATAAATAAATAAATGTATAAAGCTGAATTCAGGGCTGAAATTGCACTGATCTTTAGAAAAGCACCTTGCTTTTTTAAGCATAAGGTCAGGTTGTGCACCTATATTATGAAAGGAACTGATGAATCACGCACTGCAAGCATAGCTAGAGAAAAAGGGCAGGTTTTTAGTAGGCAAACTGCATCTGAACCTTGGCTGTGTAGGATACACTTTTAAGGATCAGTCAACCATCTCCAGATGTTCTTGCATCAGGCTGATTATAAGGTTAAGGTTGAGTTGGGGTTCAGGCTTGGTTTGATGACAAAAACATTTTGGTTGTTCCATGTCCCTCACGTTGCACCACACAGGCAGAAGCCACATTTTGCTCTTGATACAGCCAGTGGCTTCCTGGTGCTGAGACTCTTGGTTTGGGACAGTTTAGTCTACCAGACAGCTGGACTCTTTGGTGAGTTCAGTTCTGACCCCTCCTGTTGCAAGATTAAAACTCTCTTTCTCAGCACAACTGAATAAAAGCACTTACCCCACATTCACTACCACTGAATCTGTTACTTCAGCAAAATAACGGCATATTCTGTCATGTGAACCTGAAAAACAGAAATGATTCCAAGGAGGATGAACAACTGTCCATTTCACAAGTGCCACACCTCTTGGACGCTGCTTGTTCCTCAGAGCAATCCAAATGCAAGCAGGGGCATCAAGGCACCTGTGCCTGAGGCAGCGTCCTGGTTTCCTCTTGGCTCTCCACTCATCAGTTAAGGCCAAGGGGACAGACACCACTCTTCCCATTGGCGTATTTCAGCTCAGTACCTTCAGATCGTTTGGTACATAAAACACATGCACACAGAACATGTACAGACCGGGTGACTGCCTAGGAGTCACTAGAAACACTCGACAACACAAACATAAATTCAGAACACACCCTAAACAAGACTCCTTCCCCTCCTGCATTATGGAGGATTGGAAATCGGGGCTAGGCGACAATGAGACTTGAACCATTTTCAGTGCACTGTAAAATGTGTGTGACAACCCCTGCCTGTGACAGACCCCACCTTGGAGGACCTGCTGGTGAATTTCTCCTCCTCATGGCACGATTCTGTGAAGTTGCTCATTGCTGAAGGATGTACTGAACTTCACTGAACACACAGAAGTAGCCTAGGATGGGGCAGGCAGAAGGTAGACCTCCAGCAGCTTTGAGCTTCAGAAGAAGTCCCAGCTATCTTGAGAAAGACCTTCTGCCCACCTGTGCCCTGGCATACTATGCTCAGGTTCTCCAAGGTGCTGTGACCATGTCGACATGGCACCAGGGAGACATCAGGAAAGCCCAGAAGTGACATGCCACGTAAAGAAAGCCATATTGTATTGGCCTTTTTTCCAAATATTGCTAAGCATGTCTAGAAATACATTGCGAACTTCCTTGAGCTGTGAAATAGAATTTCCTCCCACAGTTTTTAAAAGGATTGCTTAATGTTTATTAGCAAAGAAGCTAGAGAAAATCTGAAATGGATTCATGGCCCTCCAGTTGCTAGCAAATCTTTCAGCAATACTTATATTAACTAACAGCAAATTCTGCTAGAACAAGGCAAATTAAAATTGAAGCCCTTCTTAAAAGTACTTACAGATGCTTCCACATACGCCGATCCCTCCATGAAGATACAATATTCCTCTTCTGCTAGTAGAAGGTGTTCTGGGCCAGTAGACCCTCACTGGAATATCGTCAAAAGCCAGATCTTTGATTATCAGATAGGAGCTCTTCATTACTGGAATACCATTCAGAGCAATCCTCCACATTTGGTATCTATGGCAAATACCAAGTTTCTCAAGAAATAATCCCTGTTTAGGAAAAGACATGGGGGAAGAACTCAATAACGCACACGCACACGCAAACTCAACTCTCAAAGAGGGGTTAATAATCCATTTTCATATAATACAACAGAAGATTTGTGAGTTGGATTTTGCTTTTCATTCGATTCAATTTCTGGTCGTGCTGACTGCTCTAATTCTTCAGCTGCACGACCAGGAGGAGACCAAGGCGTGCAAAGGTAATTGCAGGTGTCCTGCCAATAGCAGCGTGTGTGTCATATTCTGGTACGCCTTGTTTCACTGTGCTTCATTTATTTATTTAGGCAACTTCTATGCCGCCCCATTCGCGGAAGTCTTGGGGCGGCTCACAAACCATAAACCATTTTATGGCACTTGCCAGAGGTGGCCTGTGTCAAGCAGGCATGTCTGTTGATGCCACTTTTCCAGCAGAGGTGTCTCACGTCTTACGTCTTGGAGACTTAATCTTTGCAGCTCCCAGGGAGGTGGGGAGCTTTACACATTCAAAATGCAAACTGTGAAACTCCTAAATCTAGCAAACGGGGATTCCCCCCACCCCCACCATACATGTTAAACTACAGGTGGGTAAGACATTTGTTTAGGAAACAAGTCTCACTGCCTATGGAATGGGGGGCAGCTTGCCTCGGAAATCCATTCATTTCTAAAACTTGCAATGAGTTTCACAGCCAGAAATGTGGAGGAATTTTTAAACTGAAAGAATGCATACTTAAAATGTGCATCTTAAAGAAATGAGTGCCAGGAAGATTTACTCAATGGAAAATATAGGTAAAATGCACAGAATAGAAAAGCTATCCCTTTTTGGAAAATATGCATAGAAGTACACATGTTTCCATGGAGATGGGGAGAACCTTAAATTGGAAGTGGGGTGAAGACAGAATGATAGTACTGGTAGGAAAATGAGAAAGTCAATGAGAACAAAGGGGACAGATGTGCATATTCCTGTTTTAAAGAAGTCATCCATAGAATGCCATACAAAAATGTCCAGATTACCCAATATTTAAATCAGGCAAACTTACCAGTCCAAATAAAATTCCACACAGAAAATTGCAACACCGAATTACTTTACGGTCTAACATTCCTGCAGGAATGTGCGTCCTTGTACAATCGTAATAAATTGCCCATGCCAAGCACATCAGTGTCATGAAAATGGTCAGATAGGAAGTCAGCATCCACAGAGATTGTCCGAAGGCCATTCTAGAATCGGGGATGTTGCTTGTCATGGCACCAGCGATTTCTGCTTCTTTGTGCAGCTCATTCTCCCTAATAATGACTACGGAATTGCAATAGACTTCTGCCACCCCCAAGATTATGCTCGAGATGGCTAGCTTAGCACTGTGTTCAACTTTAATAGCTGGTGGGAGGAGATTTTCGATGAATGAAAACATTCCTTTTTGTAATAGCACCTCCCTTCCCCTCATTTCCCTAAGTCACAAGCACATTGATGGTATCATTTTTGCTGCAATCATGTCTACATTACTACTGCAGCCACACCTAGTCCTAAGATGAAGAAACATCTTGGTGTTAAACATGGTTGTGACATCTCTAGGAATCCCTAATTTCGTCTTGACTCCTGCCATTCACTGGGCCATCCCCCAGTTGACCAGAGGTGCTCCAATACTCTCCAAAAGGACCAGGTGTCCGCAACTACTGCTTTGCAGAGTGAAGTTGGAGTCCCCTCTTTATAAACTTGGTTTATAACTGACTTCCATAACAACACGCGATACACCAATCAGTGCTGTTCTGTGCTGGTGAGTCTTCTTCAGTTCATGATAACTCTAGGAATGAGAGTCCTCTCAAGATCCCTGCTCTGCCATCACGAGCTCAGGGCTGTGGCTTCTTTGATGAATTTCATCCATCTCACAGCTGGGCTTCCTCTTTTCCTCCTTCCTTCAACTTTCACTGTCTTCTTCAGGAAGATGGGACTTCTTAGGACCTTCCTGGAGAATGACAACCTGAGACTAGAATGCAAGTTGTCCATTGAAATATAATAAAAATGGAGTTAAAATTGATTAAAATACACGCATTTTCTCTGCTATCTTCTCCTAATATGTCTGTCTTCTGAGTAGGATCCACTGCCCACAGGAGGGATCCCACATGAGGGGCAGGTAAGCAGGCAGCAAAGACTGGCGAACCAGTGGAAACAGCAGGATGATCGCCTCTTTCCTAGTCAGGTCCTTCTACCATCAGTTACCTTGTAGGAAGGTTCTTATGAATGGTTTTTTGTGAAATACTGTTTATTGTTATTTGATTGATTGATTGATATTTAATCATAGGTAGCCCTAGAAGGGTCCAACGGATCCTTAAAAATCCAAATCTTGAATAATTCAATGGAATGACTAATTAAGAATATCTTGTCTATCTCTCATTGATCCCACTGACTCCTCTGGCTTCATTCCACTTGATTGTAACCCTGGTTCTAACCCTAGTTCCCTCACTGCCTAACCCGGTACAGGCATTTGTCTGCTTGTTTGTAGAGCAAACGTGTGGAGATGTGGATGTGTACATGCATCCCACCACCTACACCTGTCTGTGCCCAGTGACCATAGAAATGTAGAAACAGAGCGAGTCAGAAGGGGCCTCCCGGGCCATCTAGTCTGACCCCCAGCTCCAGCCGGCTCCGCTCACAACACGCCCACCATGTGCGCATTCAGCCTATCCTTGAACACCTTCACTGATGGGGCTTCAACCACCTCCCGTGGAAGCTCATTCCATACCCTTGGGGTCCTAACTGTCAGGAAGTGCTTGGAAGTCACCAACAGTACCCCGAGATCCCTTTCACAAGTGCTGCTCTCCAGCCACTTGTCCCCTAACCCTGCACTTGTCCACATTGAATGCCACCTTGTTGTCTCCTGCACACTTCCATAGTCTGTCCAGATCCTTCTGGATCTGGAGTACCTGCTCTTCATTTGTGGCCACTGCCTGAGTTTTAGCACTGTCTGCAAGTGTGATCAACAGACCGGTCACCCCTTCTTCCATGTTGTTGATGAAAAGATTGAACAAGATCAGTCCCAGGACAGACCAAGTCATCTGAAATTCTGTAGCTCCATAATTCATGCTAGCAAGCTCCTTTCCTGAGGCTTCTGACCCCTTTGGAGGGCTTCAGTCTCCATAGATCACTCCTTAGCTCTAACACAACTGACTCAACTGACTCTAACCTTCTAACTCAAACGGCTCTTCTCAGCCCATTGTCCTCTCAGGTCCGCCCACCTTTGTCAGCTGACTCCAAGCCCCATCCATCATTCCATAGACTGTCTCCTGCCATCAGTCCCTCACTTTCCTTTATAACAGGACTACAGCCATCGAAAAAGAATAGCACAGGGCTGGGGGTGCATAAGGAATCTGGTTTGGAAGTGGGAATCCACCAGATTCCCTCAGCTCACCTTCCTGGACTTCAGTCCACCTTCTCTCAGCCAAAGTCCAAGTTGGTGCTGAGCTCACCAAGCGGTCTTGTGGACATCCACCAGGGATTGAATCCTCAGGCCTGCTGCACAAGTGGACTCCCTCTTCTACACACATAACTTGTGACTTTTGAGTTTGTGCTGCACATGTTGCAGAAGGTCACCAGGCTGTACAAAGAAGAGTCTCCTAACGTCCATGGACTTCCTCTGAGCTTGCTTCTTAAGGCAAAGCAGAAGGAAGGAGGACCATGAGAGGAAGAGAGCCAGGTTCATGAGGGCCATCACAGCCCTACCAAGGGCTACAGCAGCAGTCACAGGCCTCCTCCCCAGTGCCAGCGTTCCCCGTGGAGGACAATCCCTGGGGCACAATCCCCACAGTCCCTCCTCTTGCTTCCCCTCAAAATAGCTGGATGAGGTACTACTTCAGAGAGTCCTGCTCTTCTGCACGTCACCCTCGGTGTTCCTCTCTCAGGGTGGGCCTTGGCTTCCTGCGTCTGCTACCCTGTCATAAGTGCAGGGACTGCATCTACTTCTCCCAAAACACAGCCCTTTGAGCTTGCCACCCCAGCATCTCCATCAGCACTGGAAGAAGCGGGAGGGGCAGAATTCGTGGCCAACATGCTGGCATCACATCAAAAGGGTCAACCAAGCAAGTAACATCTGACATCTCTGCTGACTGGTCCAAACGCAGCACAGCCAACTTCTTAGCATAAGTCTTATTTCTCTAATAGGTACTATTCTACCTAGACTTATGTGAATAGGAAGGGGAAGGGGAGACAGGAAGTGATGCTAATTAAAAGAGGGACGGGAACTGGTAACTGATGTAAGGGAACAGGCACAGATGTTAAATGCTTGTTTCGTGTCTGCGCTCTCCCCAGAGCACGTTGGGGGAGATGTGCCTGGGTGAGGCAGATGAGGTTGGGGTTGTGGGGGCACAGATTAGAGGCATTTCTCTAGATGTTGAGAAGCTCCTAAGGACCCTGGGCATTAGGAAGGTACTGGGTCCTGATGGGCTACGCCCAAGGGATCTTCGGAAATTGGCAGGGGTATTCTCAACTCTTTGGCCTCAATCTTTGAGGCCTGATGGAAAACAGGAGATGTTCTGAAGGGTTAGAGTGTGTTGTCAGTGGTCCCAGTCTTCAAAAAGGATAGCAGAGGGGACTAGGAGAATTCCAGTCCATCCTGGGTGAGACAATGGAAAAGCTCGTAATAGGGAAACTTTTAGAATCCTGGATAGGGAAGGGAGGTTGGTAGCCACACGCTATGGCTTCCATTTATACCATACAAATATTGTGGAGTTCTATGACAAGGTTTCAAGGTGGCTAGATGCGAGGGACGTGGTGGGTGTGGTTTACCTGGATTTTGGCAGCATCTTTGACAAGGTCCTGCATGATATCCGGGTTGAGAAATTGATGCGCTCCAGGTATATCAACACATTGTCTGCTGGATGAGGGTGCGGATTGGGTCCTGTGACCAGAGGTGAACTATCAGTGGAGAGTCATCAGGACAGCAGCTGGTGATGAGCAGAGTGCCCCAGGTCTCGGTTCTGGGACTGATTCTGTTCAATCTTCTTATCAATGACCCGGGGGAGTGGGTGTAACCAGTCTGTTGACCAAATTTGCAGATGATACCAAAATGGGGGTGGTGTCCCCCACGGAGGAGCAGGCACTCCAGAACCAAAAGGATCTGGGCAGACTGTGGAAGTGTGTGGGGACAACAGGATGGTGTTCAGTACAGAGAAGTGCAAAGTCTTGCACTTGGGAATCAGGAATAATTGCCATAGGTACAGGTTGGGGACAAGTGGCTGGAGAGCGGCCTAGTGAAGGGGATCCCGGGGGCTTGTCAACAGCAGGCTGAACATGAGTGAGCAGTGTGACGTGGAGGTCAAGAGGGTGAACACTACGCTTGAATGTATAGCCAGAAGCGTGGCTTCCAGAACGAGAGAGGTGCCGTTGCCACTCCGTAGGACTCTGGGCTGCCCACAGCTGGAGTACTGTGCCCAATCTGGGCTCCACATTACAAGAGGGACACAGCAAGGTTCGAGTCAGTTCAGCACAGGGTTGCAAGGACGGTAGCTGGATTGTTGGGGGGGGGGATTTATTATTTTTCGATTTATATCCTGCTTTTTTCCTACAAAGGACTCAAGGCAGCTTACATCTCCTCCTCCATCTTATCCCCACAACAACAACCCTGTGAGATAGGTTGGGCTAGGAGTCTGTGACTGGCCCAGAGTCACCCAGTTGGCTCCATGGCCGAGCGGGGACTCGAACCCAGATCACCTGAGTCCCAGTCCCACGCTCTTAACCACGACGCTGCACTGGCTCTCCTGCTGACCCTGGGAGGCTGCCAAGGGGGATGATCATCTCCACTCACTACAGGCAAGGTCTCAGAGTCCTTCTAAGGTTATCCTTGGGGTTGCCATATGAGATGAGATGAGGGACCTGGGACTTTTTCGCTTGGAGAAGAGGAGATTCCAAGGGGATCTGATTATGACTTACAGGTATGTGAAGGGGTGTCACAAGGTAGAGGGTGGTTACCTGTTCTCCCCTGTGGTAGAGGAAAGGATGTGATCCAATGGGGCACAGCTAAAGGAACTGGTCTTTAGGTTGGATGTCGGGAAGAACTTCCTGATGGTTAGGACCCCTAGGGCATGGAATGGGCTTCCAAGAGAGGTGGTGGAGGCCCCATCAGGGAGGGTGTTCAAGGGAAGATTGGACAGCCACATGTTGGGCATTACATCAGCAAAGCCTGCTGGATCTGGGGGCAGACTAGATGGCCCAGGAGGCCCCTTATGA